TAACAAGAGTTACCCATTGAGGTAGAAATTATTTAGCCTTCAGCACAGAGACCAGACCATTATCTACCGAGGACTAGATGAAATCAACTGGAGGGGAGTGGGACCCCAGAGAGTGACTTGTATATAGGAAGCACATTATTGAAAATGCTCTCTTGAAAAGTAAACCAAGTTGAGTTAATCGTGGCCATTGTGGCCATACTAATTGTGGCCATACTCATCTCATCAGTGTGAAAAGGTGTGCTAACGCTGCGTAAGAAACACAGTCTAATTTGTGAAACGCTTCACCTGACAGAAGCCCTGACCTAGGGGCATTCACTCTAAGGTCAATAAATGCTTCTTATTATGAGATGTACTCAGGGAATAATTTCAACCTTATTGTCCTGTAACAGTTAACATACTTATTTACCTTATATTACACTTCAGCTCATCCTGCATTGAAAAAATCCTAAGACAGCATTTATCCAAACCCTATGTGTTATATTTTGAACCATTTCTTAGAGGTCATTTCTAAATGAGTGAGACATATTCCTGGAATAGGTGAGCCACAGAATAGCAGGCACTAATAATATGTGTTCTTGTTCTTTTTAACCTACACTGAGTGGCCTTTGGTGCTCCGTTAAAAACATCCAGAGAACTGGTTGGAGTGTAAATGAGAACAGGCTGGTTGTACACGAATGCAGTGCAGCATGGCCAGGCCGCAAGTACAGCACCGTGCCCGCCCTGGCACAGCAAGTCCTTCCACTTGGGGCCTTCTTACTCTGCATTTGGTCACAGGTGCCAGAGGAAGGAGGACATAGGGAAATAAAAGCTAAAAACTTGGTGTGCTTATTTTTTTCCCTCTATCAGAAGGCAGTAAGGAAAGAAAAAAACAGGAGGGACAGAGGGCTTATGAGCAGGAAACAGAATAGGGGAAGAACTAAAATAAAAGTTCAAGAACAGTGGGTGAGAAGGAGCCACGGGGGGCATGGCTGAAAACCAGGGAGGGCTGGATGAGGTGAGCTTCTAGGGATACTCAGGGGGCCTCATACACACTCTGACACTAATGGAAGAGACGGGGGGGGGGGGGCGTGAGATTCAGTCCATTTCAACAAGTATTTACTGAGCACTCAATTTCAGGTACTATTTTGCAGGCAGCAGGGAACAACAAAAATGGGCTGCCCTCTGGGAACTTACAACCTGGTAGGATAGCAATAACCCTAAGTGGCAGCAGCACTGTTCTGGTGATGGCGGAACAACCTCTGCACCGAGTCATGAGTCAAGCAAAGTATGCTTGCCAGAAAGCATGTCTACATTAGGGACAGTATGCTGGGTACTGGGACAAGATAAAGGTATACACCGGGGGTGCCAAAAGAATGTATACACATTTTAAGAGATGTTAACACTTTGATCAGCGTTGCTCAAGCAGTAGTTCGCTGTAATCAGAAGTGTCTGGACGCTGATGGTCACCACTTTG